TCATAATAATTTAACTTGTGAATTTTTTATAAAAAATATTAATCGAATATGAATTAAAAAATGACATGGTGTGACAATATAAAAAAATAGATGGATTGAATAAATTGAAGTTATTATGACAAAATTTTAAAATAACACAACACAACACAACACAACACTTACTCTTAATTGAGAGACCCAATTTTTTATTTTTTATTTTTTAAATTTTAGGCCCAATGCAACTATCTTGGTGGCCTCACCTCAAGGGCAACCTGTTTACTAAAGATGCACATCAAGTTACAAATCAAATTTCATTGCGATGATTGTCTTGGAAAAGTCTATTAAGCCTCTTTAATTCACACCATAGTGATGAATGAAGATTAAACTTCATGTATCATTGTTCAACTAATGTATATTTGTTGGCTTATTTTTTCTACGAAAAAAAATTTATAAATGCGAGCGTGTCAGCAAAGATTGAAAAATTCTTATAGATTATATTCAAGCCAATTATCAAACGATTGTGCTGACAGTTCTTTTGCCTCAATGAAGAGGACTTTAAAATTGCCAAGTGTAGAGAAAAGAAAAATTAAAAGAACAAAGAGAGAGACAGAGAAAAAGAAAGATGATTGAGTGAACAATCAAACTAACCACTAATTTATCTCTACTCTTATGCTTCGAAAATGAAGTGTATAAAATAAAGTGCAGGAAAAATAAATGACAAGAAAATTAGAAATCAATTGTCTTTGATTTGAATTATGGATCTCTTACAATGTAGCCATGAATGACTATTTATAGGCAAATATTTGTAGGAAAAAACTACCTAAAACTACCCACTCTTCTACCTCCTCCATTTCATACTACATGATATTCTATAAGTTCCTTCAACCTCCACTTCATGCTCTGTGTTCTTCACTTTATTCTCCATTATCTTTTCACATTTCATAACTTTTCATAACCTCCAAATGAGTAGGAGGATGCCACATGTCCTGCAATTATATAAATAATAAATAATAATAAAAATTGTAGATTTATGGTGCCAACATTAGCCCTGCAACCCTTAAAAATGATGTTTATTTGAATTTTTGAAGGGCCGAACAAAACACATTACTAATCTAAGCAATAAAGTGACTTCATGCTCTGTGTTCTTCACTTTATTCTCCATTATCTTTTCACATTTCATAACTTTTCATAACCTCCAAATGAGTAGGAGGATGCCACATGTCCTGCAATTATATAAATAATAAATAATAATAAAAATTGTAGATTTATGGTGCCAACATTAGCCCCGCAACTCTTAAAATGATGTTTATTTGAATTTTTGAAGGGCCGAACAAAGCACATTACTAATCTAAGCAATAAAGTGCTTCAAATAATATTAACAAAGTGCTTCGAATGATATAATAGCACCAATAAAGTGCTTCGAATGAGTATGAAATTATGACTAGATGTCTCGAATTATATATATACTAGTGTATGCCCGTGCCTAAAGGCACGGTGTAAATAATGTTGTGGTAAATCATACCCAAATAGTGACTTAGGCTGTAAGTCAGTTAGGCTGCCACAAAACCAATGAAGGTTGCGGACCATCTATACCCATCTCTGATTTATTGCTTATAAATAAGTGACTAGTTATTGCTTGTAAATCATACACCGACCTCCTCCAATACAAACTCAAATCCAAATCATACCCAAACACATACTTAATCAACAAAAATAAAAAATCACAAACCAATATTTCAATGAAATGGGTTTTGAAACCCATTTCAAAACCATCAAAAACAAATTTACCCTAAAGGACTACAAAAATCCAACTCAATGCCAAACTTAAGTCTCACAACAATACAATGTAAAATATCATAAACCCACAAAGGGAACACCATCATCCTGTTTACTGTCTTTGGGTCCATGAAAAATTTACACTCATTTGTTCAAGATCATTATCATCAACAAAAAATCATATATGTTCTTCAACAACAACACGATCACCAAATCCTATATGTTCATCATCATCATAAAAAAAATAAAAAAATTAACAATAAAACAGATCAGAGCCTGTACAAATTTTAGCTACAAAAATTTACTTTGCTCAGATCAAGTCCTATACATGTATCTTATCTGCATCATCATCATTCTACATCATCATAATTCATCAACAACAGCAACAATATGCACTCACAACACCCAGATCATCACAACACCAACAACAATTAAAGATCAATTAGCAAGAAAAACATAGATCCAATCCTAAAATCAACAACAACAACAATGAGCACTCATAACACCCAGAACAACAATTAAAAATTAATCAACAAGAAGAACATAGATCCAATCAATGTTTTAAAAACCGGATCGGTGAACGAACCGGAAAAGGGATCGGGTGGACGGGTCACCGGTTGAACCGGAATCGAACCGTGACGTAATAAATATATTAAAATTATATTTAATTAAAAATATAAGTAATAAAATTATAAATTAAAAATACTAAAAATATTAAAAATATTAAATTATCTTAAATATTTGTCTTAATATTTTTTTTACTGAAAAATATAATAATATATTTTAAAATATTATTAATTTCAATTTTGGAAGATGAAATCAAATATTTAATATTCCCTCCATATGATTTTAATTCAAATAATTTGATTGAAAGGAGAGCAAAAATTTTGGAGGGATATCAAATTTTCAATATTCCCTCCAATACATTTGATTGAATCCCACATGGATTTCTTGAATTTTTTTGAAAGAGTTTTTTTCTTATAAATAGGTGAAATTTCATCAAGCTCTTAATGGGATTCCTCACAAGAGGAGACCCTTGAAAAAGAGTTTCAAATTAAAATTTTCGTATATTCTTGTATTATATATATAAAATAAGAAAGAAAGAAAGAAAAAAAAAATTTCGCCGGTCCAACCGCCGGTTTTCCGGTTCTCCTTAAAAACGCCGGTTTTCATTTTTGGCCGGTTTAGAGGGTCCATCCAGACCGGAACCCCGATTGGTCGACGGTTCAATCGGTCGAACCGGCCAGTTTGGTTCGGTTTTCAAGACGTTGGATCAAATCCTAAAATCACTGCACATAGATATTGATTAGGAATCATCTCGGCCATACATTTTGGGACAAATTCAAAAATCGTTCTCCCTTATTTAAAAAATATAACAAAATAAATCAGAAATGGGTATAGATGATTTACTATCTTTAGGTCTATTAAAATCCACATTAAAAATAAAAATAATAAATCAGAGATGGGTATAGAACTCTTGCATACCATCATTGATCGTCTCCACCTTATAGTCACTCATCATCCTATTTCACAACAATCAAAACCCAATACCTACTGTTTTCAATGGTGCCTTTTTTTTTAATGACACTCAATGGTGTTCTTCATACACTATCACCACAACCATACTACAGGGCAAGTAGACATTACAAACCAGTTCTTGGTGCTTGTAGTTAATTGTGGAGAATGGAATTCAAATCAAATGTATTAGATTAAAACTAAATGATCCATAATAGTAGTATGTACATAACCTAAAACTAAATGACCCATAATAACAATATGTACATAACCTTGAAGCATAGGATTCCCTTGCGCTGTTGTTCTTTTTTATTTATATCAGATTTGTTGCAAGATTATCCACTTATGAATTCCTATTCTCTATTTAATTGTCCCCCCACTCACCCTCACTTTAAATACCCTCATTTCTTCTATTACTAACCACTGTTTACAGGAGATACAGTGTGAAATGGCTGGTGAGATTGAAGCTGCCAGTCAACCATCTTCCAAGAGGTACAAAGAATTGTGATCCACCGTCCGATTCAAACTGGCTCAGATGAGCTATTGTTGCCTTGAATGCCTCTATATTGAAGATGCTTCCATCACCAACTCCTCCAAAATCTGTTAAGCTGGCGCTGTGAGCTCTGCAGCTCATAGCAGAGTGCTCAAAGTAGTCCAAAACATGCGCTTTTTGGGCATCAACATTGCTCAAATTCAATAGAAAAACAACCAGAAGTACTGAAACCACATCAAATATCTGTAACATTAAAGAAAAAAAAAAACTGATAGTTCATTTATATTTCACTCATGTTTTATTTTTACTTTCCAAATTCATGCAAAAAAAACTAAAACTCGGAAATTTTAATGAGTTTTTTTAAAGCAAGATTTGGACTTTTGGCAATGGGATTGGTTAGGCTGCTAGGACATGAGAACCCATATTAAACAAAAGTCAACATTGTTAATGTCTAGTGCATAACTTGTGCCTAAAGGCACTCCCATATAATTACATTACCTCACCAATTTAATAGCATAAATTCAAACCTAGGTTAAGTAAATCCATTTTTAATCCAACTTACCAAAATCAGCTGTCGAGAAAAATCATTGCGGCCATATAATGCCAAGGTTGTTAAAATTGGAATCCTACATAGGATCGGTGAGAGGGTCTCATGGATCGGATTGTAGGATCAGATTGAGAATCGTAAGATTCTACTTTCTAGGTAAAAATACAAATTAGAATGATGAATAATAAAAATAAGGTGAAAAATCATAAATCCAGTGATCCTACTTATGATCCTACCCACAATCCTACTTCCGATCCTACTATAACACTGATCCTACAACGATTTGGATCGTTTTGACAATTTAGGATTGTAGGACCAATGATTCAAATTGTGATTTTGATAACCATGTATAATGCCCCAATGTGGTTGAATAAATTACATGAATGAAAACATACTTCAAAGAGAGTAATTGTAGGGATGATGCAAAAGTCATCAATTAAAAACAACTATAAAATTGAAATTATTGCTTTAAAATATAGCCATATAAAAGTATTTGAAATTATTGACCTTTCTTTTCACTTCTGATATTGTTTTCTTGTCACTTGATTTGGGCTCACATCAAATTTTAGAGGCTTTATCTTCAATATCAAATGCACCCCAATAGTTCTAATTGACCTTTCACAATTATTTTCTACTGTAACTGAAGTTTAGAGCTAGGGAATTAAAATAAAAGAAAATAGAGACCGGGAGAGATAGAAAGAGTAGTCGATGGCCTAAAAGGCGCATATATTGTATAATGAAAAGGAGAAAAAATTTAAAAGGAAAACTCACATTAGGAATTTTAGGATGGTTCTTCTATGAGGATTAAAAGCAGTACGCTATTCTTTTCCTCTTCTACATGAAGGATGAATGGAGCTTTTCCTTCGATCTGAAAGGATATTAGATCTGAAAGGGTCTGATAGACATAAGTTCCATTGAGGCTTCAATGGCTTTTAAGGATTTAAACTCACAAAACCAAACCATACCTGAAAAAATATAAGAATTCATTCCAAAACAATGAATTTTCTGAATAACTCAAGATAATGAAACAAAATTTTCTAAATTTTCTGACCACACAACAAAACAGATTTTAAAACAACACAATAAAGAATTCATTCCAAAATAACTCAAGATAACGGCTGAAAAGAATCCATTCCAAAACAATGAATTTTCTGAACTCATTTTTTTTTTTCCAACTCGATGCTCTAAATTTTTTTTTTCTTTCTTTTTTTGTATTTCCATTTAGCTCCCACCTTCACGTCCACCTCTCTCACAGTTCTATTTTTTCCTCTGAATTTCTTTTACCTGCAGACTTTCCCCTTCCCCCATTGCACAACCACCACTCTCTCTATCTTCTCCTTGCCTCCCATACCACACTCCTTCTCTCGTTTTCCCTTATCTCTCTCACCAACGACATAACAATGCCACGAAAATAGAAGCTGAACAAAATCAAAGCACACTAACTAAAGTACTACAAAAAGCGCACCAACTAATAAAATAACCCAAAATATCAAAATCAATCGCCAACAAAACCAATTAACTGAACTCATCTTGCTGATAAAACAATCAAAACAATAGAAAAAATATGAATACTTTATTATGGAAAAATCACGATAACACAGCAAATATAAAGAGGCAAAGAAACACAAAAAGCCACACTTTGAGACTCAAACAACTTTTCATCCTTCAGCATTTTCTACATAAACATAACTCATAAACTCAATTCTCATACAAATTTAAATTCACCATTTTTTTTAACAGAACTCAATTTAAACTCCATTTAAATTTATCCACCAAAAAAAACCAACATTTTCTACAAACATTTTCCAAAAGAGTGGATTTAAAGAAAAAAAAATAAAAATAAAAATAAAAATTTAAACCCACTTTCTAGTGGGTTTGAAAACCAACATTTGAAGTGGATTTAAAAACCAACATTTTCTAGTGTATGCTCGTGTCTAAAGGCACAGAAGAAATTATATTGAGTTTAATCTTCTCCCATCTAATCTTTTATGCAGTACATGGAAAATTTATTCACAAAATAATTTTGGAGAAAATTGTTCCTTTCTTATAGCATCACATTATTATTCTTGAAGTTATCAATCTTTCTTGTTCTAATTGAAGAGGTTGGTCTCATTTGAACTTAAGCTAAAATTAGAAAAGAATATAATCTCTGTGATTGCAATATTAACAAACCATCTCTAATGTTTAAAAAGAAAAGGCATGGAAAGAAAAATCATACACTGCCGCTCATCCCCATTGTGCAAAATTGAAGTGTATCAAAGCCCAAAGTTTAGTAGGAAAAATGTATTAGTTAGTTAAGTAAAACGTATGATTAGCAAACTCATGAACATATTACACTTAAGTCTCAGTAATATTACAGTATTAGTTAGTTACAACACTCATTTCACTTTTCTAAGCTTAAGTCTTAGACTCTTCATATTACACTTCTCTCTTGCTAAAGCTTAATTATAAACCAATTACAGAGAAAGAGAAAAATAGAAAGTAAAAAAAAAAAAGACAGATGAGCAGTCTTAATTCTAGTCTATACGATTCCAATATTAGATAACTATCTGTTGGCTTGAGGCCATGGTCTGAATAATGTTCAAGAGAACACTTAAGTCTCAGTAATATTACAGTATTAGTTAGTTACAACACTCATTTCACTTTCCTAAGCTTAAGTCTCAGACTCTTCATATTACACTTCTCTCTTGCTAAAGCTTAATTATAAACCAATTACAGAGAAAGAGAAAAATAGAAAGTAAAAAAAAAAAGATAGATGAGCAGTCTTAATTCTAGTCTATACGATTCCAATATTAGATAACTATCTGTTGGCTTGAGGCCATGGTCTGAATAATGTTCAAGAGAACTAAAAAATATAGACAGATGAGCAGTAGTTGGACATCCTAGCATTAAAAAATCCTTGTGTTCATCAATAGTGTAGAACGATGATTCAACCTAACCAATACAGGTTTAAATTATGCATGACAGTGAATAAATTATCCCAAAATGATAGTAATTTGTTGTTATGTTAGATATAAGCTAGTAGTTCATACCATGTGGAGGAGCACCCATGTCTAAAGCCTCCAAAAGATAGCCAAATTTTGCTTCAGCCTGTAGACAAAACAGAGCCCATATTACATTTGGGTCAATAGTTTCTAGATTTAACATTCGGCTATTCCTTTCCTTGGGAGCAATAAGTATTAACACATCAATCTAAAGAAATTCAAAAGTTCCAAGTGGTGTCCAATTGGAACTCACCTTTAAATGGTAAATATATGTGGCTGTATCTATCATTTCAAAAATATTTTAACTAAAAAGAAAATAAAAATCAGAAAGTAGTGTGTAAACCACGGTGATCTACCCAAAACTTGCTAGGAACTATTTTCCAAAGTGCCAACATCACATGTGTTTCAATTCAATGTAGTGTGCACACCACAGTGATCTAATATCTTGAAGCATTGGTCAATGCATGAAAATATATTGATGATTGTTAGTAGTACAATGAAAATTTTGGCCCATAGAAGTATGAAAACCATGATAATATTAATATCAGGTAATTCAAAAGATCTACATATACTTTCTCCAATTTGGTACTTACATATTGCATTAGATGGGAATATAAAAATAATTTACAACGTAAGAGATAAAACACAGCCCTAGTAATTAATAATTGAGCTAGCCATCCAGTATTCGTTAAGTGTCTCCTCACTTGCTCAGGGGAAATGCCAACAATTTCCAAAACATTTTCTTGAATCTCACGCTTATGAATTTCACATGTTAAGTATTGGCAAAAGATCAATATTGCAACTAATAGAGAATAGAGTACATATTTATATACCTCAAAAAAACACTCATCAATTCTACAGTGAGCAAGAAATTGGGTACCGATGATATGTATACAAATTGGGTACCGATGCTATTAAATAAAATATCCATTATATAATCATTGAAGTGGATTCCACACCAACTGATTGTGTGAATGCTATTTGTTAATTGCTCCTCGTGCAACAAACCAAGTGACAAAACATTCCTGAAAAATGTAAAGTCTTAAAAAAACAATTTTACCCTTCTCATTATATGAACAAAGGTATTATATTAAAATATTCATTATATATACATAGAGATAGAAAACTAATTACCTCACATTAATAGTTTTCAATGCATGCATTTTATGGGATTTTGGTTTTCATATTTTAATTATGTTAATTTATTAGTTCTTGAAATATGAAATCTATGCTTCAATTAAAATATTTGTTGACTAAGTAGCACTTTTTACTCTGTTAACTTGAAAACTGTTTTTAGAATTGGATTTATAACTGACAAAGTGATGAAATAAGAATACACGAAAAGAAGTGGAAAAGACTACCTCTGAGAAGCCAGCCTGATCAAGGATTGCCCGCACATTTTCTGACATAAAATCAACTCCTACAACTGTGATATATTGGCAACCAACTTTTACCATCTTGACAACCGAATCTGCCATAACCAGCGAATCAAATATATGGATGTGAGGCCAATGCTTCTGGGCAGCAGTTAAGACCCCTTGGACCTCAGGATCTATGTAAATAAAAATAGTATAAATTATTTTTTGCATAGCATAGCAATTAGAATCGATTTCATAGCAATTAGAATCGATTTCATCCAAAAAATATGCATAGCAATTAGAATTGATTTCATTCCAAAACCCAAAAAATGAGAAGAATCCAAGACAGCAGAGGTCAGAGAGACCTGAAATTAGATGCAAAGAGATAGTAATCGAGGTCAAAAATAATGAAAAAGGGCAATTGTCACTGCGAAAACATCATGATTTCCAAATTAGTATCTAATTATTGTCATCGCACACATGAACTATCCCAATTTGAAACAAATGAGACCCGGACATTGCCGTGATCGAACAATACCTGTTTAGATATTTTTTATGACGACAGCCAATTTAGATATTCAACACAAATAAGTATTTCAAAACACAATTTCAATTAACTTATTTTGAAATTGGGTTTTCAAAACACACGATAAGGTCATTCCATCAAAACACACCATAGACTTCAAAACACACCATCATAACCCTTCCATCAAATTAAGCAAAGCAAAACAAAATGTTCCCGGACAAAATTCAAAATAAGCATTATTTGCATTCGTTCTATAATAAAAAATCACCAAAATGTATGGAAAGTTACTTCATTCAAAATAGGTCCATTAATAAATTGCACCTCTGCAACAAATACCAATAATAAAATCATGGGCCCAAAAAGAAAGAAAAAAAAAGGGAAAATTATTGATAAATCCCATATAGAAGTGTTTTAACCCAAGAAGTCCATGAAGGGATTTTTTAACCCATTTAGTCCCATATATGTATAGTTTTATTCCATAAAGTCATTTTTCTTGATTTACACTATTTTCTTGGACACTTATGCCCTTATAAATATTTTTTGAACGGTTAGCAATTTTATGATGTGAACATTCATATTTTAAAATTCACATTGGTAGGAATGTAAAATTGGCCCGTGGGCGGCCCAAAACCCGTCTGCGAGCCGGGGCGGGCCCGGCCCATTGATAATGTGAATATTCACATTGATATGTTAACATTCACATTAATAGGAGTGTAAAATTGGCCTGCGTCCCGTGGCGGCGTGAAACCCGCCCGCGGCACATGGGCGGCCCGGTCCGGGCCATTGACAATGTGAATATTCACGTTGACATGTTAACATTCACATTGATAAGAGTATAAAATTGGTCCGCGGCCCATGGGCGGCCAAAAGCCCCCCCGTGGCCCAGGGTGGGCCCGACCTGGCCCGTTGACCATGTGAATATTCACATTGACATGTTAACATTCACATTGATAAAAGTATAAAATTGGCAAGCGTCTCGTGGACGGCCAAAAGCCCGCCCGCGGCCTGGGGCGGGCCTGGCCCGGCCCGTTGACAATGTGAATATTCACATTGACATGTTAACATTCACATTGATAGGAGTGTAAAATTAGCCCGCGTCCCGTGGTTGCCTGAAACCCGCCCACGGCCCGTGGGTGGCTCGTGGCGGGCCCGACCCATTGACAATGTGAATATTCTTATTGAAATGTTAATATTCACATTGATAAGAGTATAAAATTGTCCCGCGCCCCGTGGCTGCCTAAAACCTGCCCACGGCCTGTAGGCAGCCCGGGGCGGGCCTGGCCCGGCCTGTTGATAATGTGAACATTCACATTGACATGTTAACATTCACATTGATAAGAGTATAAAATTGGCCCGTGCCCTGTGGCTGTCCGAAACCCGCCCATAGCCCGTAGGTGGCCTGAGGCGGGCCTGGCCCGGCCTGTTGACAATGTGAATATTCACATTGACATGTTAACATTCACATTGATAAGAGTATAAAATTGGCTCGCGGCCCATGGGCAGCCAAAAGCCCGCCCGCAGCCTGGGACGGGCTGGGCCCGGTCCATTGACAATGTGAATATTCACATTGACATGTTAACATTCACATTGATAAGAGTGTAAAATTGGCCGCAGCCCGTGAGCGGCCTGAAGCCCGACCTCAGCCCGAGGCGGGCTTGGCTTGACCCGTGACAATGTGAATATTCACATTGACATATTAACATTGACATTGATAGGAGTGTAAAATTTGTCCGTTGCCCGAAGCTCGCCCGCGGCCCGAGGTAGGCCCGGTCCGGCCCGTTGACAATGTGAATATTCATATTGACATGTTAACATGTACATTGATAGGAATGTAGAATTGGCCCGCCGCTCGTGAACTGCTCGAAGCCCGCCCACGGCCCGGGGCAGGCTCGTTTGGGTCCGGGCCCGAGCATGTCCAAGATCCTAGGCTAGGGCCTAGGCCATCACTTTGAAGCTCGGCCCGGCCCATCGGCCCGCTTAAGGCCCATTCAAGGCTCGGTCCGAGGCCCAGCCTGCCTAAGGCACAATGTCTTTTTTTGTGAAAAATAATAAAATTTTGGTAGAAAAAATTAAAAAGAATTAAAAAAAAATGGCCAGGCCCGCCTAAGCCCGGCCTAAGCTCGAGCCTAGGCCCACCGGCCCGACCCGAGGTTGTCGTCTTCAGGCCGCGGCCCAATTTTACACTCCTATTAATGTGAATGTTAATATGTCAATGTGAATATTCACATTGTCACGGGCCCGGCCGGACCTGCCCTGGGAAGCGGGCGGGCTTTGGGTCGCCCACGGGCCGCGGGCCAATTTTACACTCCTATCAATGTGAATGTTAATATGTCAATGTGAATATTCACATTGTCATGGGTCGGGCCGGGCTCGCCCCGGGCCGCCCACAGGCTTCGGGTCGCCCATGGGACGTGAGTCAATTTTATACTCTTATCAATGTGAATGTTAACATGTCAATGTGAATATTCACATTATCAACGGGCCGGGCCCGCCCTGGCAACGGGCGAGCTTCGGGCCGCCCACAGGCCGCGGACGAATTTTACAGTCCTATCAATGTGAATGTTAATATGTCAATGTGAATATTTAAATTGTCACGGGCCGGACCGGGCTCACCCCGGGCCGCCCCCAGGCCGCTGGCTAATTTTACACTCCTATCAATGTGAATGTTAACATGTCAATGTGAATATTCACATTGTACATGGGTCGGGCCCCTACACATTGACGATATGAACATTTACATTAGGGGTATTTTGGTAATTATGTCACCCATAGGACTTATTGAAACATAAAAAAATAATATGAACTAAATAGAACATAAGTAGATGAAAAGGGTATTTTGGTCTTCTTATCTCAAATAGGACCTAATGGAATAGTAAAAAAGAATATGGATTGGATGGAACATAAGTAATTAAAGATGGATTTATGGAAAAAGCTCCCAAAAAAAAAAAAAAAAAGATAAGGTCATTCAAGGAAAAACTTATGCAAATGTATTGCAACTTAGGCAATGAAAACTTTAACAAAAACTTATTTTTTGACCCAAAAGAAAGAAAATTCAACAAAAACAGTAAAATAAAATAAAAAAACATGTTTAACATATTGTCAAGTAAGTGAGGAGGGTTTTTGAATATATATAATAAGGGAAAATATAAAATGTAAAATTCAAATATAAAATGACTTAAACAGGAAAATTCAAATGAAATGTCAAATTAAAAATAAATTAAAAAAAAAACCCATCTCACGTATTCAAAAAATAAAAAATAAAAAATAAAAAAATCTCAGCCATTCAAACAAAATGTAAAATTAAAAATAAAAAAAGAACCATTCTTATTGCTCCGTGCCTTGAGTCAAACTTGTTTGAATAAAGGTACGGTGTAAATAATATTAAAATTAAAATGCAATTATAAAAATAACAAATCCAATTGTATAATTGCATTGTGTCATGGTCTAGAACCAAGTTTGACTCAAAGGCAACACCGCACCTCATTACCAAACTTTGGATACTAATCTTAAAATGCAAGCTTCCATAGAGAGAGTGAGAATATTTTACAAACATCAGGGGCATATTTATAATTTACCCTTTTTTAAGATTTTGTGAAAATTTGAGAATGGAGATTTAGAGGGTTACGATCCATCACATTCTTACATTATATTGGCATAGTTTTTAAATTTCTTTTGTCTAGAAACCGACCAATAACAATAGACGAAAAGATAATCAAGTGGTTTATTATTAAATCTAGGATTACATCTCTTTTTAAGACAGGTCCCTAGGTAATCAATGAATTTCAATCAAAGAAGACAGCTTCAAAATCCTTATGTAGTATAGGAGAAGCTTAAAACAAAGGTTGGCCATTGAAAACAAAGGAGGTAGCACTTCAACTGCAATTTCAAATCTCACTGTGATTGGAGATCGCCAACCAATCAAAATTCAAGGAGTTAAAGACAAGTTAGACCAGACACATACAAATGACCAAAACATTAATCCAGTATTTCCCTTTATTTTAACAAATACCTGAACAGTTATAATCTCTTTTCTTCAAACAATTGCTGGATATGAGTATCCTAACAGTTATAATCAACAAACTCAACTTCAGAGAAAGTTTCAGATGTGTAATGACTTCACATCAACCATCTCTTCATCCTTAAATTCCTCCTTGAAATATATTGAAAGCATTCCATCAATTAACCATAAAATAATAATAATAATAATAAAAATAAATAAATAAAAACTACATACAATAAATGTTAATGGTGTAGACAAATGCATAGTAATTGAAGGGTAACACTAACACACTGGGTATAATAACAGTTGGTAGAGACCCAGCCTTTCAAAGCAAGGGTCATGGGCTTGAAGCTCTATTCATGGGGCTATGACAGTGTAAAAATGAACTGGTGCACGGAGCAATATGCTATACTATTCAATTCACTTAATTCTTCTTGTTTTCCAATCAAAGAAACACATAAATATCCCATAAACACATAAGCAACTTGACTTTGAATATATTAAGAAGTTTCAAAGTTCAATATATCAAGAAGTTTCAACGTTGTCTCTCTGTTAAATGCATTCACACACACCTAACTATCTTGGCTATGTTAA